GGCCTGAGTAAAATGGTTCCATTTATGCAATGATTACAATAATCAATGTTTCCATAATATTTTATAAAATCACAGAATCTTCTAAATACTGCCTAAGTGAATTGTGCCAAAGATCAATGACAAGCAGCAGACTGCTGTCTAGGCTCTGTGGCTTGCCGGAATCAGTCTGGCAACCGTTAAGGAAGGCTGGTTGAACTGCTGAAAAACTGCCACATGATGCTGCCATGTGTGTTACAGAAATGATACCTCTCCCTTGCCCTTGGACATGACAATACGTGAGATCAGGCTAAGTCTGAGGGTGTGCTCTGGCACTGTCGAGATGACAGCTCTTACTCTGCATCCTGACTCTCCCATACAGAGGACAGCAGTCACAGCTCCCCGAGGCCTGGGTTAGTTAGCCTGGCAACTTCACACGTGGGACCAGTGTGACCAGGCTGGCTTCAGCTTTAGGCCACTGGAAAACCTAGCAAAACAAACAAACAAAAAACCCCACCTGAAATAAGTCTCTTAATAGCTGGAACTTTCTCAATCACCAGAGGATTTTTGCCCCAACAATGCAATCCATATAGCCAAAGAAAGAAAACAATGTACTATTCAACAAAAATTACTTTAGAAGTCTCCAATTCATAGAGAATAGATGTCAGGAACAGGCAGACACCATGTCAGCGAAGTACAGGGAAGAGTAAGTCTGTAACAGATGAGTGCTAGAACCTAGTCAGTCCAGCACAGCCCTTCTGCGGACATGTGCTCCCTGCAGTTGTCCCCACCCTCCTGTGCATGTCTATCTCAGCTCCCAAGGACATCTAAATTTGCCTGGACCAACTATTCCACTACAGACCAACTTCTGTACAACAACCGCAGAATACGCAGCAACTCCAGATAGATCCTAGCTTTTGGCAGGTTATGGTGGCTCACACCTATAATCCCAGTACTTTGGGAAGCCAAGGTGAGAGGATTGCCTGAGCCCACGGGTTCAAGATCAGCCTGGGCAACATGGTGAGACCTCATCTTTACAATAAATAAAAAATTAGCTGGGCGTGGTGGCACGTGTCTATAGTTCCAGCTACTAGGAAGGCTGAGGCGGAAGGAACACCTGAGCCCAGCAGGTCGAGGTTGCAGTGGCCATGAGTGTGCCACCGCACTCCAGTCTGGCTGACAGTTAAAGAATACTAGCATTTTAAAAACTGGGAAACAAAACTAATGTAACCAGGGAATTTCCTGTTTAAATAAACTATAGAGTGAAACCTTTTGTAATGCAAATTTCTATCTAAAATGACTGCTTTGTAAATGACAATTTCATCACTGGGTTTTCTTAAAAGTTGATTATTTTAATGTAAAAGGAATTAGTGTATAAATTAAGATGTGTTGTCAATCTTCTCTATTGAATAAATATGGTAATTTTAGGGTAATAATAAATAAATATAAAGTATTCATTCTGTTTTCATAATATTGAAAAGCTGTAAGAAAGCTATGCAACTTCCTTTTTCTTCTTTACTGAAAATAAATATAACAAAAGACCACATTGTGACTTATTGTAGAAAACACAAATTATAAGAAAGAAAACTGAAACTCCTCCTCTGTACTTTAACTGTTCTAAACATAATTGTATAATAGTGTATTATTTGTTTACATTTCAAATACTCCCTTATTAGACTATAAATTCCTTAAAAATAGATATCACATCTTATTCCTCTCTATTTCTCCACTCTCTAATGTAGTATCTGACATACAGTAAATGTTAAACAAATGTTCCTTCAATAAGCTAGAGGGATAAACTCAGCTGAAATACATAACCCTCTGTTCTCAATCCTAAAATACATATGTGTGCATATTGCATACATACATATATAAAAGGAACAGATGCTATTTTAATTTTTTCTTCACAAAGATAGCATTTGATTTGAGAACTAGAAGCTTCTTATTGTGTAACAGAAAGCCACACATTTTTCTAGGGAACAGTAATAACAACTTGATCTCAATCACAAAGTTATGCCTCTAACCTAAATATGGTAGATATTAAGAAACTGGTGCCATGAGACCTTAATTCCTATACTGAGGTGATCTTGTAGAAAACAGAAAAATGTCTTAAATGATTTTGAGGTCCCTGAATCTCTACAATTAAAAAAAAAAAAATTTATTGTAGAGACGAGATCTCGCCAAGTTGCCTTGGCTGGTCTCGAACCCTCGGGCTCAGGCAATCTACTCAGCCTCAGCCCCCCACAGTGCTGGGATTACAGTCCCCATAATTTCTAAAGAGATTTTAAAAAATTACTATTAGCAACACTCATCACCATTTATTGTTTACTGTGTACCAAGAATACTTTGGTACAATATCTCACCTGAAGTCCAATGATGATATGCAGTAGGTATTATCACACTACTATACTAAGAAATATTTTTTAATTATTAAGAAAAAAACTGTTGGCCTTAGCGATGATCTGGACCAATGTTCTCATTTTAATATTAAACAAAAAACGACACAGAAAGGAAGCATGTAAAGACACAGTGTTGTGCAGGTGGGTGTCTAGTACAAAGAACAACAGGACAAGGAGGGAAACACACAGGGCAAAGGTGTAGGAAAGCTCTAGCCTAAGAAATGGTCAGAATTCGGAGCATTAGGCAACTTACAGAAACTAGGCCAGAGAGGGAGGTTTTGACTAAGCTGTGGAAGAAAAGCAAATAGTTTATATTTTTTCCTAAGGGCACTAGGGAAACTAGTAGGTGACAATAATGATTATTTCTATAGCAGTAGCTACCATTTGGTGAATCTTGAGGACTAATGCAGGCTTTATGTCCAAAACTTCACAGGATTAAATACAACCCCATTCTAGAGCCAGTGCTGCTTTTAATGTCTCCTGCTACAATGTCTCCTGCAAAAGGCCCGGCAGGACAGAAATCTGATTATACCTTCTCATAATAAAACAGATTCTAAGTCTTCAGGAAAAAGAGATATTAAAGAACATACTGTTTAAAACTTAGGATCTAAGTGAAGTCCTCTTCTGAGTTACAGAAACCACAGACTGAGCTGCCCCACGGGCATGCTGACTTGGAGGCCCTGAAGACAATCTTGCAACTGGCCAATCAGACGGACTTGCCCATCATCTTCCCAACACATTTTGTTTCTGGTACAGCATCTCTCAATTATCTACAGAATCACACATTAAAAGGAAAAAACAAAAGTCTAAAAGTAATTGTCTAGCTTTTCTACCACCATTATTTCTACTCTTCATTTTACCCCAACTACACATATTAGTAAGCTGCAAAAGTGGCCACCTTGAACTGTACTAATCCTTTCTATTGGTGTAACAAAGAATATGGGTTTTGGAATCAATCAGGACAGACCAGTTTCGCCATCAACCACCTGTGCAACCTAAGACAAGTTACTGTTTATTATTGATCATTTCCATTTATTTTCAAAGCAAGCACTCCCACTAGAAGCAAGGTGTTTTCTTGCTGAATGACTGTGAAACATCCTCAGTGACATGACTTGAGGAAGTGATTAAAGGTATTTGGCTTCTGCAGGATGCCTCAGTGACATATAGCTTCCTCATCCGACATTCTAAGAAATGAAGACTTCCACTTGAAGCAAGAGGTGCCTGAGGTCCTGCATTCAGTATAGCCTAACAAAAGGGGTCCACAAGGCCTTCAATAATAAAAGGACAGAGTTATTGAAACCCACCCATAGGTGTAAAAGCAGAGGACAAAGTCCAAAGTAGCTTCCATTTAACATCTCGAGTGAGGTATGACGACAAGTGAAAGGAGTCAGACATGAGGAACATACACCATCCTTTTTATTCCCATGAAATCCAGTAACAAGGAAAAATTGAATCTTAGTGACAGAAGTCAGACGCGTGGTTACTTGATGGTGGAGAGGGGAAGAACACTAGCTGAGAAAAGGCCTGAGAGAGCCTTCTGGGATGGTAAAAATGCTCTATATCTATGCTTTGTCTAGGTAGTGGCTTCATGAGTACACACATAAAAATTCACTGGACTAAGCACTTAAGATCTGGGCACTTTACATACAATAATACCTCACATTATAGGGGGTGGGGTCAAATCAGAACAAGGATCATAAAGTCCTGTAAGATTTTGCAAACTTGAACTTTTCTCTGGTTTTGCATGTTTGTTGTCATTGATCTATTTGTGGCAAGAAGCGGTAAAGGTGTTATGATAATACACACAACACCACACTGGGTACCACGCCCACTACCAGGGAGACAGAGGGCCTGCTAGAAGCCCAACCCTCAGTTGCATGCAATTTACATATGTAGTAAATCCTCACATGCACCCTACAACTCCAACACAAAATAAAGTAAAAAAGAATGTGCTCCATGTTTCTTAGCTTATAGCTAGGAAGGGGAAGCCAGGCATCCACCACCCTTCTGTGGTCAGGTCTCAGGGAGCCAGACACAGAAAGAACCCAGTGAGTGGTGGTGACAAGCACAGAAGAATATGGGATGACAGCTTGAATATGACAGGCAATAAAAAACACCAGAGATCCTCAACAGTCAATTCATCTACCTGCCATAATTAATCCCTGATGTCTTGTAGGTGCTCACCAAGCCTTATTTAGTTGTTTCAAAATACACTCATACCCCGACAGAATTTTTAGAAATTATATCCTCCCAAATCAATCTGATTTTGAGCTCTAACTTGAGGCAGGAGAAATATAAACTCTACCATGACTATTGTCAGCTCTGGACAGTATCAAGGAAAAGGTCTGTGTGTGCTGTGATGGAAAACTGCACACACTCCAGTTTATGCCTTTCGACAGCTGTTAGAACCACGCACTGTGCTGTTCTGACACATTTATGGAAGATGTTTTTCAGAATCACAAAGAAGGGGGTATGTGAAATCAATGAACAAACAAACCTAGATTCACCAATTGTTCACAATCTCACTATTCAACAAAAGAAAAAAAATGATGTAATGGTCTAAGACAAAGAAAGTACAATGATCCCTAGAGCGACCCTCATCTGAGCGGATGACGTGACTCTTACCTTTATCGCGATCATAGAGTAAGTCTTCTGCTGAGCAAGGGCTGCCATCCTGGGACTCCGGGCGGCAGAAGGGGGAGATGCAGGGTGAGTGGCTGCTGCAGCTGCTGCTGCGCTCCTGGACAGAAGGCGTCTGCGTGTCAATGCTGCGAGTACTGCTGCTCCGGTAGTGAGCAGGCAGGGGAGCTCTCCGGCCATCAGGGATATCCAGGGGCTGGAAGAGGGACACCACTGAACATGCAATGCCAGTGCGCAACTCCACGCACAGGGAGAGCACATGGTTTTTCCTCTGAGTTCACAGTCTACCACTATTGCTGTCATAATTTATTCTTCAGAGAATAAAGCACCACACTTGTGTCTTAGTTTCTGGGCATGCAACCTTTACTGAAGTAAAAATTTCTTTCAAATCCAATTATTTCCTTCCAAACTCCACAGCTCCCTGCGTGTATTCACAGGTCAGCGCTTCCCAATTCTCCTAAGGACAGCAGGAGGTTGTTGAACACTGTGTCGCTAATACCTAGCACTGTGTCTGGCACCTGGCAGACATTCAATGAACGTGTGCTAAACGAATTAGCTGAACTGCTAAAATCATCACTCTGAGCTACTTGAAAGAAAAAGTGAAATCTCACATTCACAGGTATAGATTTCTCTCTGTTCACTGTTTCCTATTTTAATTATTTAGAGACCAGGAACAGACCCATACCTTTCTATTTCCTTCGCAAATTGTCCAAAATTTACAGTACAGAGGTTTATTCTATTAGTACTCAGTGGAGGAGAATAACATAACTCAAAACAATTCTACTAATTTGGTGTCCATCTAAGTAGGACTACTCATAATTTTACTTAGCTCCCATGCATTGTTCTAAGTGGCAAAAACAAGAAATAAAAAGGGAACCATAATCACAGAGCCATATATTTTGGACCTGAAGTCACCTCAAAGTTTAGTAGTCCAATGACCTGTTACAGTTCTGTTTAATAGTCCAGCCCTAGTTCAGAGCTCCTGGTGACACGGCCAGTTCAATGCCATCGAGCTTCCACCATAGTGGGCTCTTTCTACTCTCCTCTGCTGCTTCAACTGTAAACACTAATCCTACTCTACCTTCTCATCTGTGGGCTAATAAAGTGAGGTCAACAAATAAAACTCTATATAATAAATTCTTTCTTAAATAATTTAACCCTTTGCACACAGATGTCCACTCTGAGGGGCCATTGTAAATCTAGCAAACTACTTGGATGTCCCCTTTCAGGGGACATAAAGAGACTGCTGATATTTATACAGGACAAACTATGCGAATGCAAATTTTTCAAAATGTCCATTTCCTTGAAGTTTTCTATTCAAAAACAATGAAAAATCTATGTGCCATTTGAAATTTGTTAAACTTTTGATGAATCAGTTGAGGAGTGTTTTTTAGGAATCATAAGTACGCCCTTCCACATTGTCTTTAGACAACAGACTGGACAATAAATTACATACTATTAATGTGGGAGGAAAAAAAATGAGACAATATTGTCTGCTTAACAGAAAAATACCAGGTGGGAGATGCCCATCAAATTACTACTGCAAATCAGTGAACCTGCAATGCATGCTGATGATTATTTCACACATTTCTACACGTTAGAAAAATATTAAGATATAAAATTTTGATTTTTTTGGTCATAAATAAGTTCCTCAATGTCCAAAATTCCATTATAAGCCAAATATCATTATTATAAAATAACTGGTTCCAATGCTATACTATTTAATATGGAGTGATTCGTTTTTCACTATTTCAAAAAAGCGTGGTTGAGTTGCTGGTAGGTCATCACGGAATGTTTCCGAGTGCAAAGAGTTAAAATATTTGTTGTTATTATACAGATAGGATTGCAATGCTAGGGAACAGAACCAATATACTGTCAGTTTATTTGCAATTTATTTTCACTATTTATTGTGTCTGCTGCTCTTATTCTGAGCTTTGTCATTTCAAAGATTTCAGAAACACTGTCAGGGGAGAGGTAAAATGAGGCAGGATTCCAGCGTAATCAGTTTTTTCTAAAACAAGCAAGTGAAGGCTGAAGACTGCAGTATCTTAAATAAAAACTTCATTCATCTATGTTATACTGCTAAACCAAAACTCTACCAACTTTACAATCTGACAATGACCACTCCATTGTAAAGAAAATATTTAATCGATTTAAATATCAGTTAATTTTATAAACAAAAAAAGCAAAACTTTCCAACTTAGGTAGAAAATGAAGAAATAATAATTTACTTGGTCAAACTTTAAGAAAATGTGACTTTAATAAAAGTGTCAATATTGATAATCAGTAAAAAAAAATCATGTAAACATCTGTAGCTCAAAAAAAAAGAGTTTAAGAATTTGAATTATTTTTCATTTACAGCCTATGTGATAAATACAACCTCTCTCTGTATTTCCATTTCTTACTCTAGACCTGAGTACTATATATCAATTTCCTTCACCAACTTTTGTTTTTGTTTTGTTGGTTAAGGAGGATGGGGGGGGGGCAGAAGACTTACAACAACAAAACATTTTTAGAAATCTACATATTTACATAAAATAACAATGGGAAATATAAAAGCATGGAACATCAATCCAGTTAACATGACAATTTTCTTTTGATTGGTAACATTTTGATTCATTAAAACTCAGAGGCACACAATTACATGTAGATCTAAAATTTCTAAAAATTCATTATCTTAGTTATAACTTCATAAGTTATCTCAGAATAATTTTGAAAGGTCTACTATTGGAGTATGACTTATTTAAAAGCAGAATTATCTGAGCAAGTTGCGTATTTTAATATAGTTCTGCTTTGATGTTCTCAAGAAAACAGCAAATAATCTCATCCTCCAAAAACCAGACCAACTTTCCCTTACATTACTGTTCTCAAACTTCATTTAAAGGATAAAGGAAACATTTTAATGGTAAAGAAATAGCATGATTTCCAAAGGGTTCCTTGATGGCACAATATTATAAGATAAAAATTTAACATGATATTATCTGATAAGAAAACGGCACAAACTTTTGGGAGGATAATTTTGGCAACATTCAGATAGAATTTAAATGTACAAATGCTTTAAATGTACAAATGCTTTGACCCAGCAAGTTCACAGCCAGGACATTCCTGCAAGAGTATACTATGTATACTACAAGTGGTGGCAGAAACAGAAAACACTCTAAAGGTCCATCAAAATCTCACAATTTTAAAATAAAAAATTTAAAAGTTAAAAAAAAAAAAGTGACAAGTAAAGAGATAACTGAGAGAATGAGAGATAATATGTTCAAATAATATACTGGATAAAGAATTGTCTCTAGAAAATACAGAACTTTATAAATAACATTACAACTCAAAACCAAAAAGACAAATAGCCCAAGTGTAAATGGGACAATGGATCTACACAAATGTTTCTCCAAGGAAAACATACAAAGGGCATAGGAAAAGATGCCTGACATAGTCAACCAGGGAGAAACGCAAATCAACACCACAATAATGCACCATTTCACAGCTACTAGGACAGCTGTGTCAAAACAAAAAAAAAAGACAACTACAAGCGTGGATGAGGATGTAGAGAAACTGGAATCCCATACATTGCTAATGGGATTGTAAAATAGTGCAGACACTTTGGAAGGGAGTCTGGCAGTTCCTCAAAAGGTTAAACACAGATACAGTATCAGAAATTCCACTCCTAGGTACATATCCAAGAGAAATGAAAACATTAGGTTCACTCAAAAACTAGCATTAACTCACAATAGCCAAAAAGTAGAAACACTTCAAATGTCCATCAATTGATGACTGAATAAATGAAATCCATACAACTGAGTATCACTTGTCAATAAAAAGGAAGTACTGATACATGCTATGGGTGAACCTTAAAAACACCACGCTGAGTAAAAAAAGTCAGTTACAAAAGGTCACACACTGTACAATTTCATTTATATGAAATGTCTAGAACAGGAAAATCCACAGACACAGAGAATGGGTTGGTGGCTGATGAGGGACAAGAATATTAGAGGGAAACAAGGAATGACTGCCAAAGGAGATGAAGTTTCTTTTTGGGGTGATGAAAATGCTGCAAAACTGATTGTGATGATGGTTGCCTAACTGTGAAAATGCTAAAAACCACTGAGTTGAACACTAAATGAGTAAACTGTATGGCATGTAAATTATATCTCAATAAGGTTATTACCAAAAAAGTACTCCGAGATAGTGTGTAATATTAAAGAAAAACAAGATTCAGACATCCCACATAACCTTACCTTGGACACTTCCTCCTTCCCATTATTTTCTTTAATGAATACCTTTTCTAATTCAGGACTTATTCCTTCTACATTGCAGGGCACACGTGAAACAGATGATTTTGGCACTGATATATTTGACAGTGGCATAGGAACTGACCTTGATCCAGTAGCCTATGAAACAAGACAAAGTGGTGTCAAATTATTTTTGGTCAAAGCAATCAAAGAGCATGGTAGATCTTAACATAGAAACTCAATGAACAGTTATTTTTGACATTTTGAATTCAATAAGAATTCAGATACATACTCAGAAATATAGGTTCTGAAGAAAGTATGGTGAAAATTACATAGTCAAAATAATCATTGAAAATCTTTTTATATAAGTATAAAGATATAATTGTATAATATATATTCTTGTTCAATAGCATGGCAAAGAATCTTCTGTATTATTTAAATTTGTTTCCTTTTCTGGACTAGGACAGTTGAAATCATGTAAGTTAAATGTATCATGTGAGTCCACTGTACAGCTCTGTATGTACGTATTTAAAAGACTTGTTTGTTTTCTGTACAGTGAACAATTACCTTCCAGTATTTTTCATTTCCATTTTGTCAACCATTTAAGAAAACCTATTGGATTATTAAGTAACGTGGTAACAATACTATGATAAGTTCAACAACATTCACTTCTTAACAACTTTAAGGTTGTTTCCAAGTACTCCTCCTAAGAAGTGGAACAAGAAAAGGATGCCCACTTTCATCATTCCTATTCAACATAGTACTAGAAGTCCCAGCCAGAGCAATCAAACAAGAGAAGGAAATAAAATCATCCAAATTGGAAAAGAGATGTCAAATTACCTTTGTTTGCTGGTGATAGAATCTTACACTTAAAAAACCCTGAAGACTCCTCCAAAAGACTCCTAAATTTGATAAGTGAATTCAGTGAAGTTTCATGATACAAAATCAAGGTACAAAAATCAGCAGCATTTCTATACACCAATAGTGATCAAGCAGAGAACCAAATCAAACACTCGATCTCATTTACTATGGGGGGGGGGGACCCTAGGAATATGTTTAACTAAGGAGGTGAAAGATCTCTACAAGGAAAACTACTAAACACCAATCAAATAAATTGTAGATGACACAAATGGAAAAAAAAAATGTTAATGAACAGGAAGAATCAATTTCATTAAAATGACCATACTACCCAAAGAACTCTACAAAGTCAATGCAATTCTATCAAAATTCCAAAGTCAGCTTTCAGAGAATTAGAAAAAAAAATCCTAAAATTCATATGGAATAAAAAAAAAGGGCCAAATATCCACAGCAATCTCGAGCAAATCACATTACCTGACCTCAAATTATAATACAAGACTGTGATAACCAAAACAGCATGGCACTAGTACAAGAACAAACACATGGACCAATGGACCCAAATAAAGAATCCAGAAACAAAATAATCCCAAATATCTACAATGAGCTGATCTTCGACAAAGTAGACAAAAAACATACACAGGGGAAAGGACACCCTTGTATTCAATGCATAGTGCTGGGAAAATTGGGTTGCCATTAGCAGAAGAATGAAACTGGACCTCTACCTCTCACCATATACAAAAATTAACTCAAGATGGATTAAAACTTAAATATGAGATCTGAAACTATAAAATTTCTAGAAGAAAATCTAGGATACTGCCTAGGCAAAATAATTCGTGGCTAAGACCTCAAAAGTATCTGCAATGAAAAACAAAAATAAATAAATGGGACTTAAACTATAAAGCTTCTGAATAGTAAAGAAATGCTCAACAGAGTGAACAAACAATCCTCAGAATGGGAGAAAATATTTGCAAACTATATATCTAACAAAAGATTAATATTCAGAATCTACTAGGAACTCAACTCAACAACAAAAAATATCTTTAATCCCATTAAAATGTAGGAAAAGGATATGAACAGATATTTTTCAAAAGAAGACATACAAATGGCCAACAAGCATATGAAAAATGCTCAGCGGCACTAATCATCAGGGAAATGCAAGTTAAAACCACAATAAGCTATCACCTTATACCAGTTAAAATGGCTATTATTCAAAAAGTCAAAAAGTAACAGATATTGGCTACAGGAATGTGGATGAGGAGAAAAGGCAATGCTTACATACTGTTGGTGGGTATATAAATTAGTACAACCTCTATGAAAAACAGTATGGAGATTTCTCAAAGAATTTAAAAATAGAACTGCCATTTGATCCAGCAATCTCACTACACAAAAGAAAAAGAAACCACTGTATCAAAAAGATATCTGCACTTGTAGTTTATAGCAGCCCTATTCACAATGACGAAGATATGCATTCAAAGTGTGTAAAAATTCATGAATGATTGGATAAAGTAAAAGTGGTATATATACACTATGAACTACTAGTTAGCCATAAAAAAGAATGAAATCACGTCTTTTGCAGCAATATGGAAGAAACTAGAGACCATTGCCTTAAGTGAAATAACTCAGAAACTGAGAGTCAAATACCATGTTCTCACTTGTAAGTGGGAACTCAGCAATAGGTACATATGGACACAAAGTGTGAAATAACAGACACTGCAGACTAGGAAGAATGGGAAGGATAGAGAGGGGGAGGAATGAGTAAGATACTTAATGGGTACAATGTACACTATTCGGGTGATGGCCACACTAGATGCCCAGACTTCACCACTATTCAATATACCAATGCAACAAAACTTCACCTGTGTTTTCTAAATCCAACCCCCCCCAAAAGTTTATCAAGTCCTTTGCAGGAGTTCTCAAAAATTAACCACCTGTAATATCTGTTGTAATTTAAAAGCATAAGATGAGTCTTTTGGTGCTCAAAAAAACTTATACGATAGGAAAAAAAATAAGAAAAAAATTAGTACGTTAAAAATTAAAACAGATGACTTCTATCTTACACTGAATGATTAAAGTTGATATACATGATTTGTGATGAGATGGGCTGCTAATCACTGGTTAGCACATTAATAATATTCCCTATACTCGATGCTTTCTGTGTTCCTGCCGTCTGTGAATTGCTGCCCATTAATGTTTTGTCTCTTATTGATGCATGAGCTTTCTTCATATTGAAGCCGTAACTTTTTATCATACATTACTATCAGCTATTTTTTTCAAATACAGTTGGCCCTTGAACAACATGAGCTTGAAGTGCACGGGTCCATTTATACGTTGATCTTATTCCACCTTTGCTTCCCTAAGACAGCAAGACCGACCATTTCTCTTCCTCCTCCTCAAGGTATTCAACATGAAGACAGTGAAAATGAAGACCTTTATGATGATCCACTTCCACTTACTGAACAGTAAATACATTTATTTTCTTTTCCTTATGATTTTCCTAATAACATTTTCTTTTCTTATTGAAGAATATAGTAATTAATACATGCAATATACAAAATATGTGTCAACTGACTGTTTATGTTATCAGTAAGGTTTCTGGGCAACAGTAGGCTATTAGTAGGTATGCTTTTGGAGAGGGATTGGTGGCCCTAAGCTCCATGTTATTTAAGGGTCAACTGTATTTCACCAAATATTTTTCTTTCAGTATTTTTATGACTTTTCATACTTAAATACTTAACCAATTATGATTCATTTTTGTGAATGATATAATGTCTTAGTATTTTTTCCCCACCCAGTAATCCAATTGCCCCAATACTTCTTTATGGATTCTATATTTGATTTCCTTAAGTTCCTGACTAATAGTCCCTCTATAGAGCTCCACTTTAAATGCTATAATTTTCTATTACATTTTGGTGTCTTGTATGGAAAGTCTTTTCAAATTTTCTTTCCCATTCATGGCACTGCTTTTTCAATGACTGTTGAAGGCAACTTTGCAAGTAATAAAAGCAATTCCTTTTAAATTTCCACTGGAACTCAAACAATTTGTACACTAATTTGGGATAATTTCCTATTTGAAAAATATTGAGTCTTCCTATCCATTAATGTAAGAGCTCCCATTTATGTGTCTATTTTATATTTCATAATCTCAATAAATATGTACAATCTGCATATTTTCTTTTAATTTTAATTCTAGGCATTCTATATTTTTCATTATATTTTCTAACATTTTATGGCTAGTATAGGAGAAAACTATTAATTTTTGTATGTTTCTATTTTATCTAATAATCTCATTAAATTTCAGTTCTCACTTTATTATGGAAAATTCCAATCATAAGCATAACTTGACAGATTAGCATAATGAGTTCTCAAGTGCACAAAATCCAGCTTAAAAAATTATCAACATTTGCCAATTTATTTCAACTGTTGAAATAAATTCATTTTGTTGTTGTTCTTGAAATATTTTAAAGCATATTCTGAACTTCATATTTCATCTACAAATATTTCAATATGTACAGCAAACGTTAATTATTTTTAAGCATAGTCACATGTCAAAAAGTCAAGGTAAATTTTAACAACTGTTTAAGTCTTTTTTGTCAAGTCAATGAGTCAATCAATCTAGTATAAGTGCACTGGACTCTTACAGAAAAAGTGCCTAAAATAAATAGAATAATATGTTAATTCTATCAGGTTACAAAGAAAAAGGAAGACATAAGAATCTTCATATGTCTGAGGCTTGCCAGTTTTTTACAGCTTTGATGAGGTGTAACGGGCATACAATAAAATTTTCCAATTTTAAGTACACAGCACTTTGTGCAGTTACAAACACAGTCATCCAAATCAGTACAACCACATTTTGAACACTTTCTTCCAAAAAAAATTTCCTAGAACCTCTCTGCAGTCAATCCCTACTTCCTAAACTTTGTTTCTATAATTTTATCTTTTCAAGAATGTAATACATCAAATCATACACTATATAGCCTTTATTCCTGCCATCATGCACTTAGCCTGATATTTTTGAGATTTGAACATACTGTATGTAATGTAGTTCCCTCTAAACTGCTTACCCTAAGTGGTATATGAAAGGATGTTTACCCATTTACCAGTTGACAGATATTTGTTTGATTGTTATGTTATAAATAATGCCTCCAAAAACATTCATGTACAAGTTTCTTTGTGCATATATCTTCTTATTTCTCATGGATACATACCAAAGGGTGGAAATTCTGAGTAGAATGGTCAGTACAAATTTAACTTCTTAAGAAAATTTAAAAAATGGTTGTACCATTTCGTGTTCCCATTAGTAATGTGTGGTTGTTCCAGTTGTTCAACATCCTTATCAACTGACATCGATATTGATCACTTCAGCTATTACTCATCCTATTATTAATTTCAACAGTCTAGTTAATTCACTCTGATTTTCTAAATATATAATATCATATGCAAGCAGTGATAATTCCTTTTTTTACTGCCCTAAAACCTTTAAACTACTAGCAAGTAACATCAATAATTATAGATATCCTTGACCTGATTTTAACGATAATGCTACCAGTATTTTAAATCTCATAATGTGCAGATAAGTCACATTAGTATGTGTCCTATTTTTAGTTTAATAAGTTTAAAAAAATCACAAATGAATACTGCATTTTTTTATCAAGTGTAATTCAGCATCTAGAAAATCAAATTGTTTTCTACTTTGACCTTCTGATAAAATATACTAAATTAGCACATTTCCTAATGTTGCATCATCCTTATCTTTGTGAAACAAACCTAACTGGGTTAATTCTGATACACTGCACGGGTTTCTTCTGCTACATTCCTGTTTTGTTCCATGGGATATGTTAGTATCTATTTCTGGGGAAAATAAAAAGTCTAATGCTCAATTTCCTCATATGTAAAACAGAGGTAAAGTTTATAGAGAAATACTGAGATAGTTGGGTTAAGGAACAGATTAAGTGAGACAATACCCATAGTTGCTCATCAAGTAAGTGAGCTAGGATTTTAGCCCAATTACCCTTGAGACCACTATATATCCCCTGTTATGTCTGTTATTAAACTAAAGTTAAATATAATTTTCAAAAATCTTCTGACAATTTAACAAACGGTAGTAGTTTAGTAGAGTTAAAGAGTTATGTCATTTCAAAAACCCCTCAGATGATGAATTCTCCCTGAATGAACTAACAGGCGTTCTTCCACCTGGAAAGAGGAAGGGGCCCACCTGAGTGTGACTGACTGTGATCTGGCCGCCATGGAGAGGTGACTGGCGATCCCTCTCCCTGCTGTGGCGACTGCTCTGCTTACTGCGCTGGAGCTGCTGCCGCAGCTTGGCGATCTGCTTTGGGGAGGAGGAGGAGAAGCAGGGAGAGCAAAAGTGAGTATCAACTATTTTATATTTATTTCTTCCATTTTTGGATATTCACAAATAGGTTTTTTTCCCTTAAAGGTTCCCAAAAGAGATCATATTTCACCACAATGATTTATTCTAACAAGTTTCTAGAATTAAGATTATTGAAAATGAGAAACAAATATATGCCATAAACACTTCACTTCTACAAATTTGATAGTGTTACAAGTAAATACGTAGACTAAATTTCCCCAGATTATTTCAGATTTAACCTTTGTTAACACCAGTAATATCATCCTTTAAAAAAAACTTTTATAAGATGATAAATAATATTTCAGATGTCTCTTGAGTCAAGTCAAACCTGAATGCTATACAGAGACCACATTAGTTTCTAAGTTCCTGTCTTACATAAAATGAATCTATTTTATCAATTACTAAACACTTTAAAGTTATAAATCCCATAGTGGTGAAGAGAATCAAAGCTGTTTGGTATTAACAACTTACTGGTTTTAATATATTATTGTATATTACTCTTTAGTCAAACAACTTTTAAAAACAAATATTATTTAGGGTATATTCTCCTCAATGGAAGGATCACATTCTCAGGTTTAACAGAAAAATCATTACTACAATATGACCTGGAAATCATTAAACTACGTACATATTTAGGTGACATACAATCTGCTTTAAAGTGTGCTAAGCTAGGAATAAAAAATTCCTGAGCATTTAAAAGAAAACCATTGGCAATTATGGGGAAGTCATTTAATATTGGTAACATTTTCTTTGTAGAAAAGATGACAACATTAATCAATCAATAATTATTCCTTAAATACCTACAATGAGTCCAGTGTTATGTTATCTACTAGGTAAAGTGTAAATACAAAGTAAAGTCTGCAAAATATTGATTTTCTCATTAAAAAATTATCTAAATACTTACCTTGAATAACCATGACAATAAAAAGCACAAAAGACAATTACTATTAAATCCTGCAAATGTTCAAGGGAAAAGTATAGAGGTTGTTGAAAAAACTAATTTTTGCCTGTGGCCAATAGAGCAGAAACAGTACAGCAGGAAATAAAGCATCCAAACAAAAAAGTAATTTATATCCTTTCTTATATACTAGGCCTTTAGATCCTTTTAGTTTTATAAACTGAAAAACTCCCTTCATTGTACAGATCTCTCACACGGTGTACTTGCAAAGGATGTACAAATAAGATTATGCTAAGATTATGTTCCCTTTTCTCTGTTGAAATGACATCATATTCCTGCAGAGAACATTAATTTTAATGAGAAAAAAACCAAATTAGTGGGTAATTATTATAAATTGAGACTGATAACGCTCCATGATAAAAAATAAATCGGATTTCAGATTGTACAAGCCATATAATTAGGATTAAGGTATGAAATTAAGTATTTTCTGAATATAAATATGATTTAGTGGTGTTTCAAAACTGGCAAAAGGTTGTATAGAAGAGCTAAGAATGCCTAGAGATTAATCAACCTAATGTGTTCTTATTCATTTTTAACGAATCTTTAAAAATAAACACATAAAATAATCTTAAAACTGATTAGTCTTTTAAATTTAATTTTATTTTAAAGATGTGGGGTACAATTCAGGATTAGGTATACAAGTGGTCATCATATAGATGAAGTTTGGGCCTCCTACTGGTCCCCACTTTGCCTGGTTTGAGATCAGGTACCCTTATTAATTAAAATTAACCAATTTTAATCTATTTTTCGAGGCCTCTTAGTCATCAAAATAAGCCAGAAAGTTTTATTATAAGAAGGTTTAACAAATCCCTGAAAACAAAAAGTACACAGCATGCTACAGACCTTACTTTGCTTAGGCTATCAACTTAAACAATGCCACCTTATAGTTTTGCACAACACTGTCTTCTCTGAATATAATATAGCTGTGCTCTTGTTTACAATTCAGTAGGGATTAGGGTAAAAGGAAAGCTCATCTTCCTGAATATATATACTTGGAATACTACAAATTCTAGTCAAGAAGTGTATGGGGAGCCTTCTTTATGCTTGATGGGGTCCCAAGTACACTAGCTTCCAGCTTTAAAGAAATTAGAGAATAAGCTAAGAAACCCTGGGTCACAAAGAAGAAATAGTAGCTATAGAAAGAAAAATGAGCATAACTAGTCACAAGGAAAGACTAAAGCATTTATGAAATTAAGTGAAGATAAATCAGGAACTTGCCCATTTAAAAATTGAGAATCAGAAAGATATTTTTTGGAAACTTGGTCATATCACCCTTGTTTATTTGCTATTTTTATCTTGTTTGTTTCCCTAACTATTGTTAACAACTAAAAACAAAATAAAACAAAACAAAACTCTTAGCCTTAAAAGACTGGCTGAGTGTTTTTGCCTTAGGAACTGAGGGGGACGGAAATATTCTCAGAATGACTTCTACTCCACGGTAGGCCAGGGAAATGGGACATCGTAACTCATAGGGCTAATGGTGGTAGCAGTAAGAAAGGAAGCGGGATCCTGGGGCTTCTGGAAGAAAGAAAAAAGAGAAGCGCAGTAAAACCAGGAAAAAAAATGTACAGACTAGCAAAAGACCTGGTATTCTCAGTGAACCCCTCTTTACTGCAGCACCGCTGTGGATACACAAGATACAAACACAATCGTCAGAGGCAGATGGGAAGTGAAGTCTTTCTTACTTCTGATGTTAGAACAATGGAAAGTATGTTGCTGCTATCCCAAGACAGACCTCTGAATAATATTTGCTACAGAAAGACCACTATACCCCAGTGGTTAGGGTGTCTCTTCCACTATCACAGACTGGGTTAGAGCCAAGATTCCACAGTGTTTTGGTGGGAAAAACATTCATTCTGGGTGTGAGAAATCTAACTTATAACCAAACTTGTAAGACATAATCTATCCAAAAGTGAGGAATTAATTTTGGGGATCAGTCCCCCAACTTAGCAAAGACAACCTTTTGAAAAGAAGTACAACGTATAAAGTAATTTGTATTCAACATTTGGATACTTTGAATATGTAGTGATAACCTGCCCTAGGTTGCCATTTTTGGTAGTGCAGTTTGAGTACTGAGCAACTATTTAAGGCATCAGACTGACGGGGTAAGGAATGAACCTAGGCCAGACCAAGCATCACACAGCAAGATGTAAACCTTGGCAGAATGCTCAGGCTACCTGGAAGAGCCTCCCCCCCCCGCTTTTATTTTTCCCACAAAAAGACACTGTCCCCTTAAAAATCTCATACTAGTGGGCTGTATGCACTCAGAGGGAGTGTTTTTATCTAACCCACACAAAGCACTGATCCAGAACATGATGACCACAAGCTAAAACCCTATTAAACAGTAACCAGAAATAATAGCTAGAATGTTATCATATTCTAAAATAAAGCAGAGATATACCACACAAACAAGAAAAGACAGACTATACACTGGGAAAAGATATTCACAACACATACAGTAAACAAAGAACTCACATCCAGAATGGAGACTACCCACAAGGCAGTAAGGAAAAGATTGAAGAGTGGGCCAAGGTTCTCTGGCACTTAGCCCAGGAGAGTATCCAGATGGCCAATATGCATAAGAGGTGCTCAACACCAATCTCGTCAGGGAAACGTAAACTACACCCATCCTACAGCTAAACTTAGAATGACAACACCAAATGCTGGCAAATAGACAAAACAACTGAAACTCTCCACACATTGCTGGGGAGGAAGGTGTTCTTTTATTTTAACATAGGCTTGATGACAGAAGAGTTTCTGGGGAAGTGCTTAAACATTCAATACACTGAAGGTAACAGCTGAAGAGTAGAAAGCAGTGACTCAGCTCAAATAGACAAACATTCTTAGTTCAGTTACCTGAAGGGAAGAAATGACATGCCCACAGCTGTGATTAGGTTCGATGGTGTGTAGTAGGTAACCTTGCTAGGAGAAGAGGGAATCTCACTGGTAAGTCAAGAGGGTTACAGAGTGATGCTTCCTTCCTTGCACAGAAAAGAGTGAACTACTGGAAAACAGAAAGCTTCTGCAGATACATAGCGATAGGGGCTGTTTCTGTTAAAAGACATTTCTAACAACAGGTCTCAGAGCACATTCTCTTTGTGTAAAGAAATATTCCTGCCGGGTTCGGTGGCTCAGCCTGTAATCCCGCGCCTTGGGGGGCTGAGGTGAGTGGACTGCCTGAGCCCGTGGGTTCGAGACCCACCTGGGCAACTTGGCGAGACCTCATCTCTACAATAAATTAAAAAATTAGCTGGGCATGGTAACGTGTGCCTGTAGTTCCAGCTACTTGGAAGGCTGAGGCAGAAGGATCACCGGAGCCCAGCAGGTCGAGGCTGCGGTGGCCGGGAGCGGCCACTGCACTCCAGTCTGGGCGACAGAGTGAGACTCCAACTCAAAAAAAAGAAAAAAAAAAAGAAATATTCCTAGAGTAGAAATGTATCCTTTCCCAAATGTGGGCAACACAATTTTAAATACATTATAATTTGGCTTGCTAGAATGCTCTAATTATTCACAACCTGACTAGTACCATATGCTTTCTAGCAATTATTCAAAGAGTCACTTGCAAGCCAGTTTGCTCTATGACTATGTGAATCACTAGTAGAAAAGCATCACCAAGACCTGCCTGAGTAAAAACTACTTATTGAGCACTAGCAATATAGAAGGCGCCCTGTCACTTGCTTTTATGTGAATTATCTCACTTATTTTTCAACAAGAGCATATGAGATAGGTACTAATATTATCCCTACTTTAGAGGTGAGGTAATACAGGCAGGTTAAAAAGCTTGCTAAAAGTTGCAGTTAAGTGGCCAAATAAGAGTCTGAACTCAGGAGTGGAATTCAGACTCTGCTATCTTCATCACCATTCTATGGTTATCAGCCTGAAGACCCAAGCTACTAACGCATAAGGAAAGAACTCCTACCAAAGCAAGGACAAGCTGGAACAAAACGGTTGATGACAGCTAACTAAGATAACCCCTCCCCTATAGTAACAACTGAAGACA